GTGCAACAGGCATGAAACGCCCCCCACAATTTTTTTTTTTTTTCCCCTTTTAAATTCCCTTTTTCCCTTTCCCTTTTGAAATTTTTCCGGTTTTCCTCGCGGAGCCCTCCAAGGGGCCCTTCCAAGGGGGTCATTACAACCCGGACCCTTCCAGGAGGGGCCCCTGAGGTGGAAATTTTCCCCCCCTTTTCCGGGAAAAGGGGTGGGCGCATCACCCTTCGGGTTCCCCCTTTTTTTACCCCCTGGCCCCGTTTTTCAGAAAAGGGAAAAAAAAGGTTACCCCAGGGGGGGGAAAATTGGTGACAAAAGAAACCCGGGGACCAAACCCCATTAGTAATTTTTTTTTGGTTTTTTCCAACCGAAAAAAAAACTTCCCCACCACGGAAAAATTCCCAAACTTGAAAAAAAACGTTGGGTTCCCCCCCCCCCCCTAAAACCTTGGAAACCTTTTTTTTTTCCGTTATTATTGGGGGGAAAAGAGGGGGGTTCCAAGAAAAAAATCACCCCCCCCCCCCCCCCCCCGTAGCGCAACGATGTTTGCCATCGGAGTTGGGTTTTCGTCGCTTGGCAACGACGTTGTAAAACAGGCCGCCCCCGCCGGTGTTTGCCATCGGGGTTGGGTGTTCGTCGCTTGGCAGCGATGTTGTAAAACAAGCCGATCACTTCGTGAGCTCGGCAACCAGGTTACCGCTTTTTTTTTGCCTCTGTTTTTTTTGTTTTTGCGGTAACCATGAATGGTGGTCGAGTAGATTATGTTGTGCGGGGTCGAGAACCCTCACTCCGCGCAAAGGGGATAACCGCACGTTGTGTTAAATCGGTCAAGCACCCTCGAGGCAGTTACACAGCGCTTCCAACTGTCTCTGGAAGTGAAAGCGCCAGAAAATAAATTAAGTCATACGCAGCTGTCATCCGCAACCAAGGAAGTAAGCACAAGATGCCGAACACCCCTCGCAGGATGCAGCGCACCCTTCATGCGACTCGCCGAATACCTCACGGCGCTTCGCGCTTGGTGATGTGAGAGCCCGGTCCGGTGAGAACCCGGCGTGCTCCGTCCCGGCATTTGTAGGGATGCGAGGTCAATGGTCTAACGACTACGGCATGCACGACTATGAGTACACCCCCCCCCCCCCCCCCCGCCGCTTGAAACACTTGCCGCCCATGGAAACACTCCCCAAAACCCCCAACGCACCTTCGCGTGCCACTTGAACAGCGGCCCGTTGTTGCGAGGCATCCCCAGGCCCTTGTAGACGTACTTGACGAGGACGTCGATCTCGTCCAAGGACAGACCGGCCAGGCAGTTCTCTATCTGGTCCTCGCGGACCCCCGTGAGCACCATCAATACGCACTCCGTGCTCTTAGCCTGGTTCGCGGGGAGGACATGAGATGGGGAGTTGGGTCACTGGTCTATACCCGGGTACGTGTGGGATGGGAAGTTGGGTCACTGGTCTACACTCGGATACGGGGAGGGTACTTGTATGAACAACCGGGAGGGAAGTTGGGTCAACGGTCTACACTCGGATACGGGGAGGGTACGGGCAACCGCGGTGGGGAGTTGGGTCACTGGTTATACCCGGATGTACGAGGATGTTACGAGCAACCGGGACGGGGAGTTGGCTACTGATCAACACCCAGGTACGGGGAGGATATCGACAACCTTGATGAGAAGTTGGGTCACTGATCTTACTCGCATGCGGGTAGGGTATACGCAACAGGGATGGGTAGTATCATGAACCCAGATACGGGGACGGTATGAGCAACCGAGATGGGGAGTTGGCTACTGATCTACTTCTAATCCGAATACGGGGAGGTTATGAGATGGGAAGTTGGGTCACTGGTCATATAACCCGCTTCGGACCCGTCGGTGCTGGCTCCGAGACGATTGAACCCGCGGGTGCTCGACCCGGATCCCAAGAAAATGAAGGACATGACGTTTTGACACGTAAATCGAGTGAACCAAGGGGGGTGTCTTACGCATGCACCGCCAAAGGGATATATGATGCGGTCCATCACGATGCACGTCCAGCTAAATAGTTTCAATTTCCTTCCATATCAAACGCCTGTAGGGGGGAGGCAAGAACGCACCGGTTATGCGTTTGCAAGATAAGCACCAACCACCCCCCCCCCCAAGTCGCTGTAATCAATACCACAAGACGAGCGAAATCAATCAAGTCAACTCGTCCAACCTTGACGGCTTCGTCCTTGCAGAAGATAGGCGGGTCCTCGAGCGATTTCCGGAGCGCCCCGCCGGGGTCTCTGTGCAGCATCCCCCGCACAGCCGTCTGTCATTCGAACCGACAAGAGAGCTGGGTTAAAGTCACGGCAAAACAGGAGGTGGTGCTACACGCATAGCACGTGGTCTTCTGAGCGTCTGGTCCGTCTTCTACAATACATCCAAGATGTTCCTTCGTCCGTTCCCAAAACAAACAACGCCCGCCTTTTGAACTGAGCTCCTCGTGACACACAACAACGTTCTTGAAAAAACAAGCACGTGCTCTCACCTCTCGTTGCTGCACCTCGCCCATAGCCGCAGGGTCAGACACCGCGCCCGGGACCTTGCTCGGTGCTCCCGCGCCCCCTCCTCCGACCACAGGGGGCTGGTAACCCCCCCCCGAGGCGGCAGCAGGCGGGGGCGGCGAGTACCCCTGCTGCGAGGACGGCGGTGAAGCGCTCCTGTACTGCTGCACCGGCGCCAACGCAGCCGGTGCCGGTGCCGCCACGGGGGGGTTGTACCTTCCCCCTCCGCCGCCGTACTGCGCCGCGGCGGGAGGCTGGTACGCCGCGGCCGGCGGCGGGGGGACGGCAGCCGGTACCGGGGGCGAGTAAGGGGCCGGCGCCGGCGCCGGCGGCGACGAGCTGAAGGTAGACCGCAGCCCCGTGTAGGGCTCCGCGGCAGGCTGTGATGACGGAGGGGGCGGGGGCTGGGCCGCGGGAGTCACTTTCCGGAGCGCGACCGTAGGCGCGGCCGGCGGGATGTGCGCGGCCGGCGTGTAGGACGGGATCGCCGGGGCGGGGGGCTGGTATCCCGACGATGGGGGAGACGTCGCCGCCGGTGCCGGGGGTTGATACCCGTACGATGATGAGGCCGGGGGCGGGGGAGGCGAGCTCGCTGCTGCCGGTGTCGGCGGAGGCGGGGGCTGGTAACCTCCCGTGGGCGCTGCCGGGGCAGGGGGCTGGTACTGGTAGCTCGAGGAGGCGGAGGGGACCGGGGGCGGGGGCTGGTACCCTCCCTGGATTGCGGCTGGCTGCTGTGGGAGCGGGCGACAAGGCGGGCGAAGGGAGAGAAAACTGCAAATCATAAGTTACGGCGATGGTGACAGCGTTGCCCACCATTCATGTACACAGCAGTTGGGGCATGCGTTTTGCGTGACTAAACCTACAGCTATAAGTACATCCATGCTTACACCACACAACTGTAGATGGTGACAACATGCTCACAAATAAAGCGTCTCCAATATCGTCTCCCAAAGTGCTAACCGCTACATACCACGACGCCTACATCTGTACACCGTACCGGCGGCGGCGGCGGCTGGGACCTCGGCACTGCCGGCGGGGCAGGGGGCTGGTAGCTCGGCACCGCCGGGGGGGCCGGTGGTTGGTAGCTTGGCACCGCCGGCGGGGCGGGGGGATGGTAGGCAGACGGCACCGGGGGGGGCGGCGGCGAGGAGCTCGGTATCAGCGACGGCCCCCGCGCCGCCGGCGCTGAGTGCGCCAGCATCGGCCGGACGCCGCCGGGGACCGGCGGGGGCGAGCTCATCGGCACGGGCGGCGGCGAGGCTCCCGGCACCGAAGGGGGCCCCCGGCTTGGAACGGGCGGCGGAGGGGGGGACACTCCCGTCCGCGGGGGGCCGTAAGACGGCACCGGCGGCGGCGCCGCAGCGGGGATGGACGGAGGAGCGGAGCTGGGGATTGGCGGGGGGCCGGCAGACGGGACGGGTGGCGGCGGTGGTGCTGAACCTGGGAGTGGCGGGGGTGCTGACCCGGGGAGCGGCGGTGGCCCACGCCGGGGAGGCGGTGGTGGCGGCGGCGCCGACATGATGTTGTTGCCTCGCGTTCGATCTCTCGGCGGGCTGCGGCTGCTGCGACCTATGGGATGCCGGATGAAACGGGAGAGAGATGGCAAAAGGGTAGGGGGGTAAACCGGCTTGGAAGGAGGAGCATCGGAAAGGGTTCCACGAAGAAGCTGTGTGCTTCCTACTACGGTACATTTGTGGAAGGAGTTGCAGCTTGCAAAAACACTAAAACACGAAGAAACACAACCAATTCATAGCGTCAGCGGAAGCTACCTGTGTGTCTATACGATTCCCCGAGCAGCAAACAGCGATGTCTCTGGACAGCTCAATATGTTTTCGCGCTGTGCGGAACCTGGCGACGCTGAAAAAAAAACCCTCGAAGGACACCGCGGGTACACTATTATTGTGGCTACTGCTTTTGGTCTTGCCGACCAGAAAGAGTTCCTCGCTCCAAGACACGACGTCACAGCAGAGTCGTGTAGCTGACACCATCCGTACATATCTGCCTGCTGTCCCTCCTGCCCGTGTGCGAACCCCTCTCTCTTCTACACCATTTTGTTCGGAGGAACCTTGTAGGGAGGTGTAGGATGTTGCGCCATGATCGACGCGCAGCATCAACCAAATTTTCATTTTGGCGAGAGCAACACCAAGGAAAGCGGACCAATTATGCAATATCTCTCTCTCACCACCTCTGTCTCCCTCTGTTGTTGGCGCCTCTCACAGCACGCACGTGCTGGCTGTGGCAGTGGTGTATCGATGCGCCGTGCGATGAACATCCAGCAGACATCCCGCCGCGGACTTCGCCCCCCCCCCCCCCTAAAAGGGGCTCCGTGCCTAACAAAGGGCCGAGCGCGGGGAGTGCGCAAAATGCACACCAGCTGTCTATTCACAACACCTCGTTGGGGAAGCGAGGAGCGCATAGTAGCACCATGATTCGCGCGGTGTCGGGACCGGTAGTGGCTGCGGCGAGGGCGGCCCCCCTGCGCGCGGTGGTGGCGTCAAAGGGCATGTCTTCTTTGGTGCCTTTGGATGAGGAGTACATGGGGTGAGTGCGTCGTGGGAGTTCTTGTGAGACCGCGACAGGGCGCGTTGCGACGGCCAACGCGCTCGGTGCGCCAGCGGCGGGTGCACGAAACGCTGCCGTTGCTTCTGCTGAAGCTTTGCCTGCTTCCTGTGTCGATGCACACAAGAAGCAGGGATAGTGGATGTTGCGCAACGTGGTGTTTAGCTGCACCTGCCTCTTGGGGTATACCAAGAAGTGCGTGAGCGTTTCAAGCCCTTTGGGCGTGTGTTGGCAAGGGAGGGGTTCTGTGACGTTGTGTGTGTCTATGTTTAGAGAGGATGCATTGCACTCGGGAGCAATCACGCTAGCACGACAGCCCTGGGTGAATCGCGCGAATCTAGCATGCGTGGTACCAGCAACGGTGCTCTTGGTGTCGTCGCATTGGGTGTGCACATCGTTCGAGGCACCACGCTGCTGTGGGATGCATACATGGTCTACATGCAAATCCACCCCCCCTCAGAGACAGATGTACCTGCGAGGGTACCACAGGTAGGGGGCCTGTTTTTGTGCCGGTATATGCCCAGAGAATTGGCCGGCCGTGTACCGGACACTGGGGGCTGTTCGAGTACAGAGTGACTTGGTGATTCAGTGTGGTGCCAGCCGAATAGTCCGGCATTTTACCTAGCACCCGCACTAGTAGTCATCCAGCACTAAACAGGGCCCCACTCCTGTCGCCTACGATACGTGCAGGGAGTGTAGAGCCCTCTTGACCCTCTGGATGAGATTGCTGTACCCGCGTCCGGGTCGTGTTTTGTGCATTCCAACCGGTTTTTCGTTAACTCTCTGGTGGCGGGATGCTCAGTTGGTGTTGTCGAATGTGAAGCCGTTCTACAATACAATACAATACGCCAGGATGCATTTTTTATTGTGGGCGCACACCGCCGTTGGTGGGGTTGTTTGCTTGTGACCACGTTAGGCGTCCGCGTCAGTTGTACTGTTATAGGATACTATACTATAGTATAGTATAGTATAGTACGGACATTAGAAGGTACTGAGCGGAGACCGGAACGGTTTTTGATGTGAAGACAACAACAACAACAACAACAACAACACACACTCCCCCCTTTTTTTTTTTTTTTCTCTTAGTATGACACAACGAATCCATCTCTATCATAGAGTCTGAGACAGATTAGCAATGAATTCATAGCGTCAGAATGTACCTGTATGTCTACGGTTTCCCAGACAGCATATAGGGACATCTCCCCTGCGGGTAACAGGCTCAATTTTTGATAATTTTTGATAGATGCCCCGCGCCCCGCCGCATGGTTACCTAATCCTGCTGTAGTTGCGCCGCCCAAACTTCTGCGCTAAACGGCACCACCACGCAGCACCAGCAACAGTGCCCTGGAGCGGCAACATATTTACTCCGTTTCAAACCGTGCTCTTTCGAATATGATCACAGCGCAGTTCGCACACCTGCCGCCTGAATGTGCTTCTTCCCACAGCCCCGTTTGCTGCTTGCGAAAGAGCAGAGAGGATTCATCGGCCTCGTGAATGCTGAGCGATTCGGTTCTGCTGTTCCCCCCCTGTAAAACGTTCATTTCTAGCTGTATGATCTTCGTTGAAGGCTCCGAGAGTCACGCACACCCGAAACCCAGCCGCCCTGCTTGATTTTGTACCTCGAATAAACTCGAGTTTCGTTTTCGCTAGGGGACTGACTGCTCTGTGTACGACCAGTGCACGACACACGACACACGATGTCATGATGACCTACTTGGCGTTTCAATAGGAAAGGTATTTACCATCATGGGTGGTGTTCTGTAAGGTGTGTGTGCTTCTTGTGACGCTCCTTAATCTGAGAGTATGCTGCTTTATAGGTCCTAAGATGGCGGCTACCACTTGCCGGGTGTATTGCCACAGGAGGTGCGCTATCCGTTGTGGGTGTGACATGACGTAATTTCATGTGTCACCGTAGTCGGAGGGCATATGCGTATGGTTGGATGTCTCACAGAAGGCGTTCCCCGCACTCGTATGACAATTCCGTCCCATCGCATGGGAAGAATACAAATCGACCACCGTGATTCCCATCAGTTTTCGACACCTTTCATGGTGACACCCAGCGTATCCTCTCAACCTCATCGCGTGAGCCCCCCCTCTATAAGTAGTGTTGGGTTTCCAACGCTCGCGCTCGCTCGAGGGCAAGGGGACGGGGGGGAGGGGGGGGGTTGTGCCCCGTACCCGTATCCGTCCGGCCTGGTGCTAGCGCCAACCGCTGTGTTCCGTGTGCTTTTGTTTCGTCTCCTTGTAGTGTCGCGTTGTTGCTGTTGCTGTTGCTGCTGCTGATGATGAGACTGTGTTGCTGTTGTTGCTGTTGTTGCTGTTGTTGCTGTTGCTATTGCTGCTGTTGATGATGAGACTATGTTGCTCTTGTTGCTCTTGTTGATGATGGTGGTGTGTTGTTGATTGATTGATTGTTGTTGTTGCTCTTGTTCCTGACGGTTGTTGCGTCTATTCCGCCGCTGCTCGTGGTGCGGTTCGGTGCGATCGGTCGGCCGCGTGGCTCCCCCAGGTCTCCGAGCACGATGCCCGCCGCGGCGTCGGCCCCCGTCACCAAGGTGTCCACCCTCTCCAACGGCGCCAAGGTCATCACCCGCGAGAGCGGCCAGCTGGTATGTAAAATTATGTGCGGACCACGCAGTACGACTACGAGACGGGCAGATTTAGTTGTTGTTGTCGTCAGGCGGTATTTTGTGTTTGTCGCCGTTGCTGCTGCTGCTGCTGCTGCTGCTGCTGCTGCCGCCGCCGCCGTTCATGTTTCTGTTTTTTGGTGGTGTTGACGGTGATGTTTTTTTTTGTTGTTTTTGTTGTTCAGGGAGCGACCGTCGGAGTGGTGGTGGGCTCCGGCTCGAGGGACGAGTCGGCGTCGCAGTCGGGGGCCTCGCTCCACCTGGAGGGCATGGCCTACAAGCTGACCGAGGCGCGCTCTTCCATCCGCCTCATGAGGCAAGCGTAAGCGTATCACTCACGTCTTCCGTCTCTTTTGTTTCCGCTGGCCGGGGAGGAAAGGGGGGAGGCAGTCTATCGCTACCGCTGCCCCCCCCCACGCGCCGACGATTTCGTGCACGCCGCCATCGTAGGTTCTGCGTGTCACGTGTGATGCGGCAATGTCCGTTCCGTTTGTTTCGCGTTGCTGTGTAGGGCATGTGCATGATCTCTTTTCTGTAACTGACGTTGCTATGTAGGGCGAATCAGATCTCTCGCTCATACATACGATATCGGTTAT